GGTCCAGATGAATTTATCCCGGAAACTTTCAAGGATAGTGGTCCAGTTTTAGCAGTTAGATTGATTGAGGTTTTAGTTGGAATGTGGGGACTGGATGTAGTCCCATCTGATTGGTCTCAGTTGCTGGTCGTACCAGTCCATAAGAGAGGACAAATATCCTCTTGTAGCAACCACAGAGGAATCAGTCTGACCGATATAGTATCTAAAATACCCTCTCCGATAATGCTCCGAATTCCAGGAGAAGCACTGAAAGCAGACGTAGCAGTAACTGCAAGGATACTCCACATTCTCTTTAGCAAGATTTGGGATGGAGAACAAGTACCAACAGACTGGAAAGAGGGACACCTGGTCAAAATACCAAAGAAAGGCGATCTCAGCAAGTGTGAGATCTACAGAGGCATTACTCTTCTCTCAATAGCAGGAAAAGTCTTCGACAGGGTATTGTTAAACAGAATGAAGGACTCCGTAGATGCTCAACTTCGAGACCAACAGGCTCGATTCCGTAAGGATCGATCGCATACAGACCAAATTGAAACACTACGGATCATTGTGGAACAATCAATTGAATGGAATTCATCACTCTACATCGACTTCATTGACTACGAGAAAGCGCTTAATAGCGTGGACAGGACAACACTATGGAGGCTTCTTGGACACTACGGTGTGCCTGAGAAGATAGTCAATATAATACGGAATTTCTTTGATAGGTTAAACTGCAAAATCGTGCATGGAGGACAGTTGACAGACTCATTCGAAGTAAAGACCGGCTTCAGGCAAGGTTGCTTACTCTCACCCTTTCTCTTTCCCCTGGTGATCGACTGGATTATGAAAACGCCAACATCTGGAGGGAGCATGGGATACAGTGAACATCTAAGATGCAGTTGGACGATCTAGACTTCGCAGATGATCTGACTGTTCTATCGCAAACGCAACAACAAATGCAGGAGAAGACGATCAGTGTACTAGCAGCCTCAGCAGCAGTAGGTCTCAATATACACAAAGGGAAAAGCAAGATTCTCCGTTACAACACAGCATGCACCAATCCAGTCACAATTGACGGAGAAGATTTGGAAGATGTAAAAACCTTTACATATCTGGGCAGCATCATTGATGAACACGGTAGATCTGATGCAGATGTGAAGGCGCGGATCGGCAAAGTAAGATCAGCATATCTACAACTGAAGAACATCTGTAACGCAAAACAACTGTCAACCAACATCAAGGTAAGAATTTCCTATACAAATGTCAAGAAAGTTCTACTGTATGGGGCGGAAACCTAGAGAACTACGAAAGACATCATCTAGAAAATACAAGTGTTCATTAACAGTTGCTACGCAAAATACTTCGGATCTGTTGGCCAGACACTATCGGCAACAACGAACTGTGGGAGAGAACAAACCAGATCCCAGCGGAGGAAGAAATCAGGATGCGCTGGAAGTGGGTAGGACACGCTTAACTAGGGCTCATGAAGAGTGAACCCGAGAAAACCATTCTGGTTTTACTCCTGAATGCGGATGTATATACCACATATCCACAGATATACCCTTTCATGTCCAATTATTGTCGTACTTCCTAACTTTAAAGTAGCGTTCGACTCTGTTGATCTAGCTCTGTGTCTGTCATTGGAAGGAGTATCAAAGAAGTAAATGAACCTTGTACAGGCTCTCTACTCGTGCATTACTGGTCGAGTTAGAACTTATGACGGACCGCTCTCGGAATCGCTAACCTCAATTGGTGTTCATCAACGTTGTCCGCTTCCCCTATTTTTATTTAGCTTTGTCATAAACACTTTTAGAGACAAAACACTCATCGTCTGATTTTTCGGAGGTCGATCTTCCACCAAGAGATTCATCTGTCGAATTGAAGTACGCGGATGATGCAGTTTCATTTAGTGAAGATACTGAAAAAATGCAGTCTCCTGACTACCCTGAGCAACAACAAAAGCATAGTTTGGATGCGTTTCTCTCCTTCCAAATGCAAAATGTTTTTTCTGCACTGGTCTGAACCAACGACCGAACTAATGACAGGAAGTGAAGTAGTTGAGCGTATCGACCGCTTCACTTATCCTGGGAGTCCCATCAGTCCCGATGGGCTGGTGTCTGGCGAAATCTCGACACGGATTCAGAAAGCTCGATTGGCTTTGGTCAATTTGCATCACTTGTAGCATAGGCGAGTTATCCGTCCCTTAGCCAAAGTTTTCAGACTAACAGTTCACTCCGTTCTAATTTGTGGATGTAAAACATTGGCATTAAATAGAGGATATTCGTGGGTTGCTAGTATTCGACCATAGGTGTCCTCGAAGCATTGCTCGTGTGTCTTGAGACCACTGAGTGACCAATGCCTGGGCTAGGGCCCTAGGTAAAAGTGGTAAATCAGTTGACAAGGTGGTGAATCTTAACCAACTGAGGTGGTTGGGACATGTATTACGTATGTCTGCTTACCTCGACGGGTAATGTTGTCTGGTATAGGAGTAGCTTGGAAGAAAGTTATGGGCAGAACCAGCCCGATTGGCTTTGAGCCATGTAGGTGGGTGTAGACTATCTAGTTAAGGTCTGTGTGATTATCGTAACCAATGGTTAGAGACTTTGTATCACATGGCTCGAAATCGTTCGCAATGGCGCATCCGCTCTTTGTTTTCACTTGAGTTCTACGTTTCTGAATCCGTCATAATCTTTTTTATGTCACTAGTTTATAGTTTTTCATCTTCCTTTAAAACCTAAGTTTCTAGATTCCACATAATCTTATTTCACTAATTTATATCTTCTCGAATTGTATCTGCAATGGTTGATCTTTCCTGTTATCTTTAATACTGTTAATACTCTGGGGTTCGCCCTAACAATTTCATCTTGCTTTGCTAATGGAGTGTGCAACGTGAAACAATGTACACACGTACCAGGTTCTATATTGCGTTTGGCTGGTATGTTAAATTTTGGGTCAACTTTTTACCAGGATTTCGTTTGCACTAATCACCGATCAATACTTTGTATTTTACATGGCAGGCAAATATACAACAAGTTTTGAATAATAGAATGAGATGTGATTCTGCAGCTTCCGCACCTCATCCAGATAGCAATAATATTACGAAAATCTTTTTCAATCAAGAATTGCGTACATCAAATTCTATTCCTATTGTTTTTCACGAAAAAGACGATTGTGTCAACTATCGTGTAAGTAGTGATAAAAATCCTGAAAATTTCAATCGAAGAGTTTCAAATTGGTTTCAGTCTGATCCAAATAAGAAAAGTGATAATTCCTCGTCATCGGCTACCAAGGTCAATGATACTGCATTAACTAATGGTGATTATAAAAGGTAAGTTATTTTCCGAAGTATTCCTTCACATTTGAAGAAAATTAATGCAGTATTATAATAACTAATACGTAAACTGAAATTAGACGATGGTAGCAACAAACCACTCGTAGCACCTCTCTGCTGTGGCACAGTTATCTGAGTAAGAAGCTGTAAGCACCAGATAATAGTAGACGTTATTTGACAAACAAAAGTCAGATCTATTATTAAATGCACTAGACCTTCACTTTTTTCCAAGAACTGACTATCTCCTTATTTAACATATAAGGGTCCTGTATCATGCCAGAGTCCTCAACTAAATTCGCCATCAAAGTAATCAGTGAAATGTTTGTTTCCTTTTTATCGCTTCTTTACAACTAAAGATCCGAAGATACAAAAAACTAAAGAAAATACGTTTGTCGTTGAAAACGATGCGCAGTACAATTGATATAGATAGTTCAGAAAGGAAGGGATACTGATATTACATGTGAAAGGAAAATTCCAGTTGCTGCAAAGGTTGTGCAACAATTTGACTAATAACTAATAAGTAAACGACTCGCAAAAGAAAAGATTCATGGAAAACTATATGAATACGGACGTAATTTTTATTGAAAGTTCAGCAGATAGTTTGTGTTGCTAAGTCGTCCATTTATCAAACAGCAAACGAGTTATTAAACCCTATGTTGTTCCTCAATTCTACGTTTTTACTTTACTACCATAAGTTGGTGCATCATTGGTCCTGTTCCGTGTTAAAAACCCAATGGAACACAAGTGGAAATGACTGTCAGTTAGTACAGTGGGTCAGATGTAAATACACACCAGTCGTTTGCTAACCTTTGTAAAATATATTCCTAACTATTCTTTTTGATACTATATTTTCATTATCTTTTTTTAGAACTGACACCCATACATATGTTGATCCCAGTCATTCAACAAACCAGCTCAATGTGAACCAGAAATTAGCTGTTCCAGAATCTATTCAAGATATACATTCAGTTAATGTGAAAAAGAGAAGCGAAAACTTTCTTAATAGTGGATGTGCAGGCGATACCGATCAAAGTATTTACTTATCTTCTTTAGTAAATAAATATTTGGGTAACAAAGCTGTTGGTAGTGGAACAGTGGATACAGATAGTTCTATCGTAGCCGACTACAGCTTAGCGACGCTGGATTATATGAAGCGACATGGTATAATTGAATGTCATGGAGATGACAAATGTAAACAAAGTACCGCGCCAGTAATAAATAGTACTCCAACCGCTAACCACAAAAATGCATTACATAACTATACTTGCTTTAAGGCTCAAAGGGATGATTCTGTATGTGCTCCATCGAGTGGCCCATCATCTTCCATTCCGTTTGTGTCTATGGATCCAAAATCACCTGATATACGCGGTGACCTTACAAGTGGAGAGTCGCTCCCAAATATAATGAATGAGTTGGGTTTAGATAAATTACAAATGACACAACATATTGAAATATGCAACCCTGACACTAATTATCTGTCTACCTTGTCTGATTGTTCTTTAGAAAAAGATACTTCTATACGACCAATTTTAACAGTATCGGAATACTCACACATTTTTGATTATGAGCCCAACGTTATAAACAGTCCAATTCTCGATTTAGAACGATTACGATCGCTTCCCAAACTCCTATGACTCTCGTTGTGCACGAACTGTAATTTGAACTAAACTTAAAACTGAAGCTGTTTGTGATGGGTTCACAAATAGATGTATTTTATATTTTAATTTATCATTTTTATATAAAATATTTTACAACTAATGTTATATAAGGTGGTGCCTGTGTTTATAAAAAAGAATATGAATTCAATACATATCTTCATCATCATTGTTGCCTGTTTGTATATTGCCATGCTGATTCTTTATCTGCTCTTGACTTTGATAAAGTTCATAAACCTGGAGGTAATTAAATGAAATATGAACGACAAGGAATACAAATGTAAAGGTGGGTAAATGTAGGTGTTTATTAAGGTACTTATACAAACATGGTAGGTAATAGAAGACAACTGTCTAGTTTTTGTCCACACAACAAAGCAATCCTTTATTGATCAGTTATCTTAACACAGCAAACGTATTGTCTATTGTTAGCGTCGGAGCTGATTACCAGTTTTGTTATCTCTTTGAAGGAATTGAGGGAAATCGTTGTAGTACTGTCATAAATTTGAAATTTGGAACCAGTAATCTTACTTTACAGTTTAACTGTGTAAATCCATATTGCCATTACTTTGAGTTTATATTGTTTGCTTTATAATTTGGTTGTAATTCGTAATTTACTCGAAATGTTTTGCATCATGTAAGTATTCAGTTTTTCGTACATAGAGACCAAATAGTTTCTTAATTGATTAACATAGTAAGCCCATGTGTTTTTACGCTTTAAGAATCTAGAGATTCTGAAGCGACTGAATGTGTATTTTCGAATACGAAGACTGAAGATGCATATTTTGATTGGATTTTCGACTCGTCAGAAATGCAAAACAAGTCGGTTAACAGGTCGTTACTTGTTATTCGTAAGACCTTTACAATAACTACAAATAGTATGACACTAAAATACACTGTCACTGTGTCATTCATCTTCAAAACCCAAAAAGAAGACTAGTTAACAAAAGAAAAATTACTTGTTGGGCTGTTGTCGCGTCTTCAGGCTTCTTGTCATCTCGAATCCGAACGAACCTCGGGAATCTCAGTGAAATACCTTTTTGTGGATCCGCCTGAAGAGCGTGTACATTAAACAAACTAATTAGCCTCATCACTTCGAGCAGATAGTATATACATCGATTATATGTAGTTCAAAAAAGAAAAACTCAATAAACTATTTTACAGATATAATGCACGAAATCTATATTATACCTTGTATTACGATAACATAATAAGACTAACATTGGGAAGAAACATGGGAATAGGCTCTTGTATTGAAAAACATTGATTATGATCATATTCCTTATACAGTTAAATCTTTAGTAAGATCGATTCAACTACATCCAATTTCAAATATGAGTATACCTGTTAATAGCCGTGTGGATAAACTTTGAATGCTAAACGTGTCACAATAAGGCCGTCCGCGTCTTCTTAGAATTCAGTGATATTACGCAACAAGTTTAATGCACTAGGCATAATTTACCCTGCATGTAACTTTGTGTTAAATCTCTAAAGTAAATCAAAGAATAAACCGTAACTGCAGACAATTTTTATCTGCATTCTTAGTGTAAAGTTTTTCTCCGACAGCATGTTACTAATCTGTCAACTTTGTAATACCAGATATTTCGGTTTACAACTGTTTTATAGACTATTAAATGCATAGACCAAGTAGAGCCATTGACGATCCTTAGTTTAGCTAGTATCTGTTGGAATAATATTGGTTCCTAATATTTTGGAGATAACCAAAAACTGATAACAAACGCCAAGTGCATGTTCAATGCCATATATAAGTTTAGAGATTATTTATTCGACAAACAAATTTACTGATAATGGAGATACTACTGTAAAACTTATTGCTTCATCACATCACTACTCAACTTGATGGTCTTAAATATGCAAGTGTGACACGTAGTGACTTTTTAATTAAGATAAAGATAGCCTCAAGCATATCCCTTTTCATATTACAATACCTATGAACTATGGAAAGAACTTACTAAACCAGCAGCAGCTTTGTGTCCAGGTGATATACTCAAATCGGCTGCCTTTACTTCCCAAACTTGAACAGGCTCAAACCATTGGTCTGGAATTAAACTAATTGTGTATTGATAATAAGGTTTTGCTTTGTCAGTTACATGGTTCTTGAAAAACTCCGAAAATGAAGCCAATTCATCATCTTTCATTCCTGTACCAATCTGTGGAAGAAATAACCGAGAGTGAGCCATTCATTAATCTTGGAATTCATATCCTGAAGGTGGTGCAACTTAGTAGATTAGAAGTCTCCCATACGTGACTCAGAACAGAATAATGCAATAGATCACTTACTTTGCATATTGTCTGGTATTCTTCTGTATCTGGGTCATAGCATGCCAGCAAGTAACCACCGTAACGACCAGCACGTTTACCAGTTCCATGAAATCCACCTATCACTACTAAATCCAATGTATCACCAACACCTTCTAAATAGTCTTTTTTCAATTTTAACCAGCTATGGGATCTTTTAGCGATTTCGTAGGTAGAATTATGATCCAGTGTTTTAATCATTAACCCTTCACAATTACCTAGATGAATTTAAATACGGTAATTAATTTTAATTTATTTGGTACAGATGTTATACAAGTGTTTTAAATATGATGATTTTGTTATCCTTCGTCAAATGTGTACTTTATAAGGTGTTTGTGAATGTGCTGTTGATCTTATGTGATCGATAAAACTGCTGCCACTTATTTATGCATATTGATCTTCTAACCGACTCTGCATAGAGTAAACCGATCCAGTAAAGTCTATGGTACCTGCGATGACCGTTGAACAAAGGCCTAAATTATCCAACCCCATAAACCTGGACATATAAAGGGAGAAATGAACCTTTAAAATGCCGAAACAAATGAGCCGTAACTCTAAAAGTTCTAATAATACAACCGAAAGACAATATTTTGAGTCGTTCTCCATGAGATAATAGCTGGAGGTGATAACAAACCAAAGGTGCTTCGGATATTATACTGACAGTTATAATTACGTATTGACTAGTTGGTATAAAAGTTGAAAGGTAATTATGTCGAGTAGTTTCACGTGACAACCAGGGAGGTTATCGAATTGTTGGCTAATAAATTCCGGGTAAAAGTGAATAGCTTGAAAATAATAAGTTATTAATTATATATACTTGCTTACAAAGGTTTTTGTGATTTGTGGTTTAGAAATTGTTAGATTTACTTGTTAATCAGAGAAAATGATTTACCTTTGATGGCTTCGTCAAGAAAAGTCGCGATCTCATCTGTATCAGATGAATCAAGAGAGGTTGCCATCATGAACTCTCCAGAAATGCGCGGAAATACTTCTCTAAATTAAAAAAGATAGTTGCAGAAAACTGATAACAGAAAATACTTCACATCCTAATACAACTTTAGTGAATCTACCATTGAATGTACTTTTTCCAAGTAGACAGTAGAAAGTAATGCAAAACATAAGTTTTTATTCAAACATTTCGTCTTCACAGAAGAAAAGAACATTCAGTCAATGGAATTAATACTTTTTGAAAAAGTGTTATTAGTTAGTAATATTTTCGTGAAGAAACAGTCAGATAGAAAAGTCCAATCTTTTGATTAATGTAAGATTACAGAGTACTTTCGTAAAATATGAAGACCATACATCAAATACATAATTTAAACATCTTCCATCAGTTATTCTTTGCGTGCTTCATGATTCTTTCAACTTCGTTGTTATTACAATTGATTTCTGATCACTTCTACTCAATCTTCTGCTGGTATGCATTCTGCTTCCGATTGGTACTACATACTACTTTTATCTATCAAGATAAGTAGCATACACCAAAATATGGCGAGTAATAGCTCAATCAGTTGAAGTGGGAATAATTTTTTTCCAATCGTGTGTGATATGGATTCATCACATTTTAAGAAGAATTACAGATGCTTAATTGCATAATATGATATATATTTACACAGTAAGTTACTGAATTATTATCGTTAAATACAACTTAGTTTAATTTATACAAATCTGTCTGTTGATTCAACTGTAAATAAATCATATAAAGTGTAGTGTATTTTTAAATCATTTTGATTTATTTTGGGAGTTAAATAAGTTCTTATCACCGGCCTTCGTATCTTTTCTCTCATATTCAGGCTGCCGTGTAAATTTGGCCTGGAGTTATTAGAAACGGCTAGCAAATCGGATCGAGAGTTCCGGTAAAAGACTTATAAGTTATCATGTTATATTAGGCGAAACTCAATTTGTGAACACTTCAATAAAAACCATTCGTTTATTTTTTTAGTGGCACTTTACTGTGAGATAACATTCAAGTATAGAGCATTACATATTATGAATAATGTAGTATTAGAATAAAAATCATTAGTCAATGACTAATCTAGACCCACTATAATGTTCCAGCTACCTAATCGCGCTTACGCTAAATGTAGTTTGTTCAAAAGTTAAATCGTTTTAGCTTTTTAAAAAACCAAATCTCTCAAGGACAGGCTAAAATAATTGTTTTATATGTGTCTGAATTAAAGCTGATTAAATCTAGATCAAAATGATAGTGCATGAAAAGCGATGCGATAATAAAATGGAATTGACAACCTCAAAATTCAATATTTGTGCAATGTATGCGATAAAACAAGTGCAGACTTACCGAAGTATTTCTCGACGTATGCGTAATGGCTGTTCAATTAAAGATACACCATTTATAAAAAGTATATCGAATACATAAATGCATATTTGTACTTTCAGTGTAGATTCATCTACATCCTATAAAAATGAAGAAAATACGATAAAATTATGTTTGAGATCCTTAATTTCTTGTTGGCAACATAAAATTATTAATTTTCATTCAAACTAAAACAACACAGAGGTTTCATCCTATTTCTAACACCGAGTGACCATAAAAATTATAATCAACATGAAAATATAGGGAGCATCGGATCAGTCCATAAAAAACCCTATAAACGGATAGACGAGTCAGTTAAATTCGAAACATTATCATCTTGAAATTGTGCGCACAATGAACATAGTGACTTTTGATTGTGCTCCTATAATCTACCCATCTTGTAATCCGATTACACCTTGATCTTCAAAGACGTTGGAAGCTTTGCAACTCCATGGTGTCTCAAACGTTTACATATCAAGAATCAAACGCAAAGAATATGTTCTTAACTGTATATGGACATTTTATTCTAATCAGTTTTGTATTACTTGGGAACTATCCAAACTACCAAAAATGTTTATTCTTTGATACACATGGTGTATTTCTGAAGCCTGTTATTTCATTTGATCAAGCACTGGAATTTTTGTGGCTCGTGACAGATTATTTTCTGAAAACCCGGAAACCACACACCTAGTGTAGATGAGTTAATATAGATAAATCTTAGCCGACAATAACTTATGCTCTTTTTCAACAGAGACAAACAAGGTGAAATCGTGAATAACTACCTACATAAGTCTTCCTAGAGGGTACCCTACTCCTAAAAGGACACAAAAGCTATCGAATTTCTTCAAGGAACAGAGAATCATAAAATAGTAGTTATTTAAATGAATGGTAACATACTAAAGTCTATATATGCGGAGTGACACGCATATAGTGAATATGAAAATCAGATTCCGAAGAACACATTGATTCAGTCCAAGTCTATCACCAGGAATGCAGTAACGGATGGAAATGGGGTATACTATAACCACTTATTTCCGTAACATTAGTAAAATGTTTAATTTGCCCTTTTTGCAATAAAATAACAAGCAAACAACAAACCAATATTAGATTCACTAAAAGCCATTAAAACGGAATGTATATTTCCTGGTAGTATATGTGCAAAACATGCTAAGGGGAAATGTGACACAGTTTTAGCCAATCATAAAATGCAAAAGCCTACGTTTATAACTATATATAGATAGTAGTGAGTGCTAGCGCCCTTACTAGCCTTAACCAAGATAAAATAATTATCGAATATTTGAGGTCTATATGTAATGTCTGTCTTCATGCTTTATTTGATGAACGACAATTGTTCAGTTTTCGTAGTTATCCTTTCACAAGTTACTGCGAAACGTGGCACGTTTAGGATTCATTCATTTTTAAAACGAATAAATACAAACAATTTTAAGTAAACAGTTGTTTAGATAGATTACACACACCTTTAGAACGTTTACTCAGAAGTCAAACGCGCTCCTTTGATACCGAGCCAGCAAACAAATAAATTCTACACCATATCAAGAGTCGATTTCAAGTGTCAGCGTAAACGTGTGACCCTTAACGTCAATGATAATGTTATAAAAATCAAAGTGGATAGCCTTTTGCAGATCTTAGTCAATAACATATCCATTGTACAAGTGACTGTAAAAAATGTATCTGGTTCATTTAATCACTGCATCAACCAGATTTTATTTAACAAAATTATTGAGTATAAATATTTTATTATGGATTAAAGACTTGAAGGTTGTTAACGGAATATAAATTAGATCAAAACATGCCCCGGGCAAGATTGTGTTGCGGTAGGCTGACTGACCATTTCTTAACCAATCAGCGCTAGTAGAGACCTGGAGAAGACTCTAGAATCTTCTTGTGTATAAATTATAAATTACTAACTTCTTTTTTATTGTGATTCCTACTTCCATACAACTCTTTCAATTGGAATATAATCACGTTCCTATTCAATCGTGTTCTGACTTGAAACTTTTCGAGTGAAGTAGTGTCCAAGAATACTAAGCAATAAGAGAAACTGTAACAAAGGTGATCTCTTATCTATATTGACAAAATTTCATAAAGATATACTTAGTTGGATATTCGGTTACTCATAAATGAGTGAGCATACACAGTAATCTTTCATACAGTGGAAATAGTAAACTGATGAAATTAAAGTAATTAAAGATATTTACTGAGTTTTACTTACTTTACGCTTTCGCGTTGATAGAACTTGGAATGGTAAAATATGTCCAGCTAAACGATCCCAAGCTACAACTTCCGAGTCGATAATACAACTCTCCAGTTTGTTTCCAATTATACCATTTGATTGAACTTGTCTTTTATTATCTTTAACAATTTCACTGAGTAGCTCAATTGCATGAGGCGTTAGTTTAGACTCTGGCAGAACCCTAGACATCAGATTATTTACGATATCAGGATATTTTGTCGTATTATCTTCTTGATTACGTGAATACACGTGACTGGCACCTGAAGGGAGAATATGAATCTGAAATAAATTTTTAAAAGCCGTAATTTTATTTCGACGATGAACATAAGCTTTTAGAATTAGGGAAGATTCTGAAGATGTTCTCCGAGAATTAAATGAGTATATATATATATATATATATATATATATATATATATATATATATATATATATATACAATGCGTATTTATCAAGATATTGGTTTATAGTATTTTTAGACTGTTTTGATTATAAGATTCTTTGATTTATCAGTTGCTGATATATCTTTTGCAGTCCATAAATTACATCAAACTAATCATAAACCTGTCACTTAGTTCTGTACCATAAATGTCTTAGCTATCCATACACTGTGATTTATTATTCATGATGCTCTATAGTGTTAGATTTCATCAACATGAATACACAAGTTTTATAGTCTTCCTGGTGCTTTGATTGATAGTTTTAGACGGTAAGAATATCTTATAAACAATCACTTTTTAGCATATGTAGTAACTGCGTTTATTGAACTCATAGTTATTGGACAGAAGCAGAAGAAAATCATAACTAGACTACTATGTTTTGATAAATCTACAAACAAAACAGTCAAGTCTTAACACCGATGTTTGCCTTATTCAAAACTCTGTCCGATGTCTGGACATTTGCATTGTATCTCTCGATCCGAAAAGCCTGTTTCACATGTAGTTTTTCAGAGATTGTGACATCGGTTTGGCTGGCAGTGATTGTGCACTAAGCATCAGAGCAGAGGCGGGACTAATCGATTGGATCCTTATCAACTGTTGTTTATGTGCTGTTAGCTACCAGTTCACAAAAATGTAAATGAGCGTTGTTTGTGTCTGCATGAAGCCGTCAAAATCGCAGGTCATGTAACCAGTGCCTTCGCAAAACGTCCAGTTTATAAGCACTGGGTATCTGAAAGCTCTCTACAACCACTCGGCGCACGATAATTTAGTCCGATGAACCGCCAGTATGAAGTTACATGTAAAGTCCTGTGTGAAGGAATTTTGGGTAACGACCGAGAAACCTGATGGTCGGACAGTGATATCGAGTTGGAAACAGCAGTTGCTGGAAGCTAATTCGACTCACTTAAAACACTGGTATTGAGAAGTCTGGTGTGAGCAGAACAGTCTGTCGAGCCGATGGGACAAGTAATAACCTTTAACGACGTTCTGGACGATAGACAGTTTCACAAGGGACAGTACAGCCTATCTATCACCCTACCAACGTGCAATTAGTGTTATCTTGTTAAAACAATGGTTTTAGTGGCTTGAACGTTTTACTAATACAACCCTAGTAACTTCTATGCAGTGCATTATTTTCCTGTTCTGAGTTGAAAAAAGCGGAGAGATGGTCAGTTTATGACATGAGGCAGTGGTATGAAAGGACACTGTGTACAAGTGGCATTTGTTGGTTCATCACAATTCCTCGACTCAAGTCCAAAAAATCGCTGAACTTAGTGTCATGAAATGTAATTACACATAATTTACAATATAAGTCAGTGACGACCCTGATGTAGTTCCCTTTCACATAATTCATAAAAGTCGGGGGAAATCACTCGATATTTTCTGGAGGAAACGAATGGGGATGGACTGTTAGTAACTAAAACAATAGGTGTTTTGATAATGAAACTGTGTACACAGTGTACATATAGTGCTCAGAACAAATTCGTTTTAAAATTGACCCTTCACCTGTGGAACTGTAAGCAATATGAACACGAGTTGAACTGTACTTTCATCTCAATCTTACAACTATGAAATCGACTGATTTAAACACGTAGTAATAAATATCTGCTAATGTGGACTGCATAGATAGTGTATTCTGTAATGGCCAAACCAGAATCAATGTTAATAAATTATTATTATTACGATTTTACACCAGTATACCAACACCTCTTTAACCAATACGTCCCAACGAGAATAATGACACAAATACGCAAGTTAACTTTTGTAAAGAGAAAAACTAATTTGTATTTCACGATATCAACCTACTTGAGCCCTTTCACCATCATATTTATATTCACAGGTGAAATCACATTCTTCAAACCTCTTTAAAATTTCGTATATTCCATGTGTAGGAGAAGCTAACATTGGTTTTAGAGGAATACCTGGAGTGATTGTGCATATTTGATCCAGGGATTCATGACTACTTGTTAAAAGAGCTTTTATAAGACGGCTGTAGTCTGGACAAACGCTAGATGAGATGAGAAATAGGTAGAATAAAGGAAATCATATAGTTCATAATATTTCTGAATCCAACTGAGGGAGTATGAACAGCAACGTCTATTCAAACCTAGATTCATTTAACCTAAAGAGAATGAAGCTTTTATGGTTAATAGTGCTCCTAGCTAGTATCAAAAAATCTCAAGTTTTATTTGAATTTTGATGTTGACATTCTGTAATCAGTTGATGGTAGTTGAGTTAATTCTCATTCACGTTTTTTTTAATTCTTAAAGGGAATAGACAAAAATATGACTGAACATGGATAAACAGTTCATCATACATTGGTAATGCTTACTTCATGGATTTTAAACACACATAGAAACAAATTTCGAATCATCTATTCATAAATGCATAGGGTGATTGGCAAAGATGGCAAATTGGTTGATGAGGTAGTGGATCTTCATCAGCTGGAGTAGTTAGAAAAATGTTATTAACACCCAATCATCCCCTACTTCGACGAGCGTTGCTTACTAGTGTGGAAATAGATGGAAGCTAGGAGTGGTCAAACCAAAATGTGTTACTAGTTCATGAAGTCATTAACAATTGAACTAAGTCATTTCGGTAGAAACAGACCACCTGGTTAGGGTCCACTCGATAACCTCGATCAGTCGTTGAAAACTGGATGGCATGGCTTAGAACTGTTCACAATTACTTAGATATACTTATCCTTTAGTTTCTCACTCTTGAATCCCTATAACCCTTCATACATACCTTATCACTGACTTTTCAAATCATATTCCCACGGCTTAGTCTTTCTTTTTATCATTGCTACTACATTACTTCGATTACTCTTGTTATTTAAATCTTATCGTGATGATCAGGTACGGTAATTTTGGACAATACACATAGGTTCAAGGTTCTGTATTGATAATATCTCTCTTTCGATCACAACCGCAGAACATTTGTTATAATATGCTGTAGCAACACAATATAAAGAACTTTACATTGAAGATAAGGTTCAAACCCTACTACAAGGAGTCACAGATAACCAGCGTTTATTTAAGACGTGAGATAATCAACCGGTACCTGGTTGTAAAATCAGGATGCCAAATAAAGTGAAAGATACTTAATAAATAACTTACCAATACGCCCTTTTAACATTTGCAACTGCAGTATCCATTGTAACTTTCCAGTGCTCATTAGACATACCATTAGAAGCATTAACTACTCGCGTGCTTTTATCACCGACTTTAAAATGAAATGGCGTCATAGCCACGGCCTGACCAAGAGCTGTGAGCACCGTTTGTTCAGCTAAGCCAATACGCAATTTTCCTGATAAACTACGTATAATATATTTAGTTTCAGATTCTTGACAAGCCACTAGAAGCGAGCGAATAATTTCCACCTTTTTGTTTTGAGCCTAATAAGCGAATGAGAAAGTTGACGAAGTCGATTTGACTATCAGAATGAGAAAAGAAGTTTACTGTTCCAACACACTTTAATAAAATCAAAGAACTGACGCAGAACAGCATGAAAAAAATTAGATGCGTAAAGATTCAAGTAGTTTGTTGTATATGCGTCATATGAAAAATTGAATCTTGTGGTAAGTTAGGGTTTTATAACTGGTTACTAATCAACTGAAATTTTATGCAAACACCTAGTTAAAATTACGGTAGAAAATCGCAAACAGATAAGTGATAATAATCCTTAGTAATATTCAGACTAATACACAGATACAAGTAGGTTTAAATTCTCCTTCTGACAAACGTGCCAGTTGTAGCGTTTAATCTATCTGATGAATTAATCTGAAAGGAAACTACGAGTAAAACAAGTACAAAGCGGTTTAATCAATTTTTAAAATATAAACAGTGTAAATAGTACAGAAACTAGAAATAAAGCTATTAGTAATAAACGTTTAAATTCGCTGAGCATAAAATGAATACAGTTACGAATAAAACTTACTCTGAGAAGTCAATATTCCATCGACTGGTAATTAGCAGGCAAAGCTAGATAATGTCACAAACCAAAGTTATGGTAATGGGCATTATGCAGTACCTTGATTTGCACAATTGTTTATTTATGGACATAACTAATGTAAGAGATTCTGCTATTCACTTATTATACTGATACAAACAAGAAGATGACACGGATATGGGGTCCTTATATGACTCCATTCTGCTAGCAAAGTGATGGAGATAAGTCTAAAAGCAACGACTGGTAAACTATCAACACGTCAACCATATGTAAATTCCCCTTCAATACAAAAGAAACTGTCATATCTTTTCCTGATTGGCGTCCATCTATAGGATTTAGGACTGAAATGGAGCTGGGCTCAAAAATTCTAATTACTTATGAGCTGAAAAGATGGAATATATATGGAGTTCATAAACAGGAGGCTAACATTAAGTAAAAAACTGACAAACTTCTCAGCCATGATGAAATTAATTTACCAAACTCTGGAATTTGAAGAAATCTTTGAAAAACAAACTGATACTTATTAGGTTTAATTGGGAGAAAAAAGCAGGCTACAAATAGAAAGCTTGAGAAGACTTCTTGTTGATAATATTTTAGAAAATTTTCAGCGATAAGTTTTAAAGAGTGATGGACAAATTGCTGCATGGCAGACTTAATGAGGAAATATCAGTCTGTCTGTTCCCATGGATAGTGGGACAATATAAACAAAATGACCATGAATGAACTTTCGTTTCGCTAGATATGATCAATGAAAGTTGAACTTTTGTTTAGATTAAAGCAACAAGATGAAATTTACTTCATAGAATAAATGGCTAATTAACACACCAATCATTCTCAAAAGAGAATATAATAACTTACTGAATTTCCAGACATTGAAGCAATATCTTTCAGTTTAGAAAATACTAGAGAAATGGTCAATGGTTTCGGAGCTGACAGGATTTTCTGGCGTGATCTGATAGTCTGAAAAAATTCCATTCACAGTGAAGTTTTAGGATTATATATCATAAGCAAGTTAAGACAAAAAAATAGGAATACTGAACATATTGACCAAATAGGACCAATAAAAACATATTTCCATTAAAATACTGCGGTGTTATTCATAAAGATTTTGTAAGGTGTTAAAAACAGTAGCCAGTCGTCTGATTTTACTACATCCTCATACTTGTAGAATGAACGTCTATTACACTCAGCTACGACTACTGAAATATTTTATCTACGGATATTTACATAAAAAGTAGGGTACGATCAACTTTGTTTTAGAAACTTACTTCGGCGACAACCCCAAGATCACCATGTTGCTTCAAACTCGAACGCATATGTTCAATCCCAACACCTATAAAAATCATGCACAAAATGTTAGCAAATTCCCAATTGATAAGAAAATTATTAAATTATTTAAAGTGAGTTAGATAAAACAGATGAGTCTGGAGGTTAAAAATGTCTCCAACTGTATAGTCGAAACCTGTAAATTTCTATATTATTAGGCCACGTATATCTTGTAGACAAAAAACGTCAGCGTAGCTGACTTCTTCCTAATCTTACTCCAAATTAAAGAAAATGATATTCCTCCCAATGTTACTGGAATAAATATCTAATCTATGTATATAAGAGTAAAAATAACCAATATTAAAACGATCACAGTTTAAATAACAAAGTTAGAAACGGTCAGTAAATCTTTTTACAAACGTACACTAATTTTGATGAATATAGATCACTTAAACACTTGCTACTATTCCAGACCAACTTTGACATTTCTGTTAACGAAATTAACTAGCTTTCACTCATATGACTTTGAATGATTTAAAATATTATTTTTATCAAGACAATAGTTGTTTATTAAGTAGACTACCTTACATTAAAATCAGTAAAATTAAATAAAACCATTAACCAGGTACTTGAGTATAAGTCGCGCTGTGACGGTTAATAATATTACTCGGTTGCCTAAGCTTAAGAAAATGTAATGGAGTCCGAGTCTGGGACTTTGAACCGAAAGTCAAATGCCTCAAACATCAAGCTACTGCTCAGGAAAATTGACGTTATTGCATTTTTAGAGAAGCGTGTGGAAAACAAGCATTACTGAAGTACAGCTCGGTAGTCTAGGGACCGGTTCTAAAGTACTTAATTCAGTTAGGTTTAAATACTTAAGAACTACCTCCAGCCATCACATACTAAGTGGTTTTAAGACTAAATAGATGATAATTCAACTTAACTACCAACTACAATCTTACGCACTGTTTCTGTAAGGGATATTGACACTATCCAGGGATTCAAAATGAAATATCTGGAGTGGAGTTCGAACCAATAACTTACTTATTGAAAGGTGAGTGCTTTAATCACTTAGCTATCTCTTCAACAACTTGGACATGAATAGTGAGCCATGTGAATATTTTTCACTCCTTCAATATCGTAAAAACTGTAATCATCTGCAAAAACCAAGTTTATTGCCTCTTGGAAGACAAGTTATTCACATGTTTATCAAAGTCCTTTAGAAGTTTTAACTATTTGAATTACTAACAAAAGCGAGTAAAAATACACTCGGTGTATAATTTTTTGTCAGATACATTTTCTATTGAATTTCGAACTCATTTTGATACACATTACCAACTACTAGAAGATATTTTGGCTTTTAGTCGTATGTTAGTAGACATCAGAAAAAGTTAAAGAAATGCGGAATTACCTGTAGTTGCGGCCAAAGCCTTTAATAGGACTGTCTCCCCCACGCCTAGTTCCATCCCTTCATATGCGGGTCCCAGTTGGTTGAGGCATAGGTAAACGCAGCTTGTCAAATCAAATGAAGACAACAAACCGACTGAGCGAAAAAAATTGCACAGCATTTCTGTTATTTTTATTCTAAAACCAATACAATTTAAATTTATGTTACCTGCCAGATGTGGCCTCAATACACTCAAATGTTCTCGCCAATGACAAATAAGGGACACTAGAAATTGTTATTTTCAAGTAGTCACCAACCTTTCACCTTCTCGCCAGTTGCAATCATGGATAGGGTGATAATCCGTTTTGCTGGGGTCGTAACTAAAGAAATAACATTATTGACAATTCATACCGGGTAACTAGTTTGTCAGGACTCCGTGACGACTTTTCATTAACATTTGATCTGCTTAGAATATTGCCTGCTTCAATTTTCGCACACTGAAAACGGACTATATTAGACTCACTTAAGTCCTTGAATTTGTCTTTAGTTCTTGTATCAGTCACATTCTGTAACAATTTATCCTCACTTGTAGGATTCTTAGGTTATGACAAATTTTGAAGAGAAACATACACTTATTGGTTGATGTACTAAATCAGGTAATTTAGAAGGGATTTCTGCATCACTTTCTTCAAAATTAATATCGTTCTAAAATGTTATTCAATTTTATACTCCAATTGACATACATGAACATATTCACTACCTAATGTTACTTAGACACAAAAAAATTAGTTACTTTTATTGGGCATTTCTGTTAATGAATCATCACTTTCGACAATGATTCGTCTGCGCTTTATGCTTTTATGTGAAGTATTATCAGGCTGTTTTGAACTAATCATCTTTTCCCTTACGACAGAATGTAAGCAATAATCTCAATACTACTTATTTGTTTTCTCAGTTTCTTTTTTGTCACTCCCGGAAAAGAATGATCTACAGTAAAAAGAACTTCGAAGTTAGAGCATGATATTTTAAGTCAGTTAGAATAATAAATGGCTTAACTGGTTTAATTTTACTTAACAATGTTTCAGTGGATTGATTTTATTTATTATTTATTTTAACACATAGATATTGGTACAAGGAGGCACCAAATGCATATGCGCCACACAAGTCTCATTCGATGTGTGAGGGCTGTGATACTGCCCGGGTGCCCAAACCGAAGCAGGTGGTTATCTTAGGGGGTCACACCCCGAGCCTTTGACCTAAAGGTCTAACCCACAAGGCAGTGGAGCATCGTAAGGAGATGCAGTCCCATGGAAGCCGGTGACCAACGATTGGTTCATACGCCATTTGTTCCCGCAGGATACTGGAGTCCATGTGCACCATCGGTTTGGAATCCGGTTAAAGCGCCGGACATTCGCTTTTCGTCCCCTCATTTTTGTAAACAACACCCCCGCCACAAGAAGGCAGTGAGTAGGACTTCCCTGGCAGACGCGTATATAGCCTTGATATAAATCCTTTGAACAAAAAATAATAGTCTAAGATTGTGTGTCTGAAACCAGACGGCTAGGATTGGAAACAGAGGAACAGACATGATATATATTTTGGCAGGTGATTGGTAAGACTTCCAAACACCCCTCTGATTTATACGAAATCAAGATACGTATAACTAGGTACTTAACATAGTATTTGAATAAATTGAAAATTATATTTAGATATAGATGAGAAATGTGTTCTATTGAGCAGGATGATGAAGTTTAACACTCTTCGTATATTCCTGATGAACAAGAGCTCAAATGCTGAATGGAGACATTTCCACTAACGTACAGGGGAATACTGGGAGTATCTTTGTTGATCCTTGAAGTTTATGAACGAGAATTAACAATGAGCAGTTGAATAATAAAGTACAACGTTGAATATACCTCCGGACTCAGCATATTTAGTGTTTTCCACCGCTAAGTTAACATGAGAAAACAGTAGAGCACAGTAGTCAGACTAGGTCAAATAAAGTGAACGGAATATAGAACACGATAGCGTAGTATGCAAAAGTTAAGAGAACACCTATGAATTAAGATAACCATATTAGTTGCTTAAATTATCAAAACTTGTAACCCTAGAGCATATTTGATCAGATTTACCAACCACAGTATGCTGATATTTAGATATAGATGAAATCGGGTTACTTTGAAACATTAGATTAGTATGATATCGTTGATTAAGCAACGTTAATTATAAGTGTGAGGTTTTGGACAACTCGGTCGAACCGCGATAAATAGTTAGGTCTAATAGTGTTAATTAAGCTACTTACAAAGACGCGTGTTGTTGGATGATGTACATGCATGTTCATAAAGCGACTGAGTAGTTGGGTATATTTACGTCTGTTCATATAATCAAATATTGTTGGTTTAATTTTTGTAGGCTTTATAGATGAAGTAGGTGAAACCTTAAGATTCAACTGGAGAATTCGGATTCGAATCCATCATAACATTTCCGATGCACATATTTTGTTTAGAATTGCAACCAGTTTACATCTTTCAAATGTTTCTCCTTATCAACTCTCATCTTTTATCTTAGAAACATTTTCATCCCTTGGAGTTAACAAAAAGTGGCAAACTGAACTGATGAACTAGTATAAGACTCGACGCTTGATTGACTGCCATGTTCACCCTAAACTCAGGTCTTCTGACTTCACATCACTAAAAATGTGACCTAGTATCTATGATATTTTGTAAGTGTAGAAGGAAATAACGAAGTTTTACAAATCTGATCATGTGAAAAACGTCATTGCATCTAATTTGACTATGACACCAGTCGAAAAAAGTTAGGTGTTTGTTTGGTAGGTTCTTTGGGATTTCAACTGCTATCGTTGGTTTAACCTTAACATGTAAGTCGAACACAATAGAAAATATTGGCTGCAAAATAAGGTCAGAGTTAATATTCTCTTAGATTTTAGAAAGTATTGTTGAGAAGCGTTGTCAAACGAAGTATATTTATTTATTTATTTGAACACATAAATATTGGTATAAAAAGGCACCGAATACATATGTGGGATGTGATACTGCACGGGTGCCTAGACCAAAACAGGTGGGTTTTTTAGGTGGCAACGCCTGGTCTGATCCAGAAGGCAGTGGAGCAACGTCAGGAGATGCAGCCCCAATGTAGCCGTTGACGAACAATAGATTCATACGCCATGTGTTCCTTCAGGGCCCCGGAACCCGTGTACACTATTGGTTTAAAATTAGAATTTTCCAACGACCCTAGGTGGACCCTCCGTGTCCACCAACCCAGTTAAAGTGCCAGACATTCGCTTTTCGTCCTCTCAATGTTGAAAACAACACCCCCGCTGCGAGAAGGCAGTGAGTAGGACTTATCTGGCCATGTGATAGCATTTCGAGAGGGATAACTCTACCCACCCTCAGTCATACCAGGGCATTTGGGGGCAGTCAAACGAAGAATAAATCAAAGCTTGAAGCCTAGCTGAAGAAACTGGTAACGATGTTGAATAGGAGGGCATTATATGGAAACTATATAAACTTGTTTTTTCTATGGAATCGACTCAGTCAATTGTATTTAAAATTTGAAGGATGAATGATAAGAGAGCTTTAATTAATGAACACTTTTGATTAGACTTGATAAGCTCCAGTAGAAAGAGATGCTATCAAAAAACAGGGAGATGATAAGATTCCCTAAAAAAATTTCGAAGAATTCAAATGGCTGTTTACTTCGATGCATTTTCTGAAGACTATACACCCAGGTCAATTGAAAAACAAATCTTAATTGTTCTTGATTTAAGATATCCCAACATATTGAACATGAAAACAGACCGTCCCCAGCTACCACTGTTACTAATCAGAGGTTAATTGAAGAACTCTCCTTAATAAACATGCTAGTCAGTAATATGCCCGTTCCAGAACTTGCGGAAAAGCCCATCGCATATGACATTCCAAGCCTTTTCAACAGAACCGAGAATCATGTGAAAAAAATCAGAAAATATCGCGCCTTTAACCATTTTCATCAAATACACACATGTTTGTTCACGAAAAACATCAAAAAATTTCGGTGATAATCCGAGACCAGTAAGAAAAGTGCCATCCAAAGATTACTACGGTAGTACTTTTCGGGGAAATCAAGTAGCACATAACTCCTGATATAAGTACACAAATTTTCGGCTCCACAGGCTTTAGGGAAACCACATGAAGTGAAAATTTGGTTTCTAGACAAGAAACCCAACATCCCTATACTGGGTAAAGTTTTGTCCAGTTTGGGTAGATTTTGGGGAAAATCCCAAAAGTGTCTGAAGAAACTTCAGGGTTTTGCGCCATTTTCCCAAAATTCACCTAAACAGGATAAAACTTTCCCAAAAATAGGGAGACTGAAATTCCAAAAGAACAGGTAATGGTTACCAAAACCATTTAGCCATATGACACTCTAAGAAAAATATTCACTCACAAATATAGCCTAATACAAACAATCTAGGCGATTATTAAAATCATGAAAGTATTTAGATGAAGTGTTTTAAGATGCATTATTTCCAGACACATAACTCACAAGATTGATTTCTGCGGCATGGAATAAAAAGTATATCTGAGTATGTAGGGATGGATTTTTGGTGCAAACTTCGTACGACAAGACCCTGAGTAACTTAGAGAGAAAAGACGATTGCAGGCAAGCCGGACACCTACACTTGCCAGATTGAATTGAACAACCTCCTCAAGCAAGGTCACTACGCAACAACCTTTTAAATCTGACTGCTAGCGAGAATTATAATATAATTCGACGAACAATGAAGATCGATAACTACTATTTTCGAGCATTTTTTAACTCATTTGGAAATTCATTATTGCATATACTAGTATAAATCTTAATTAAGCTATTATTTCAATCATTTAAGGCTATCTACATGCGCTTTATATGAACGTGTTTCTGTCGTGAATCAGAACCCCCTGGTTAACAAGCGAAGAGAGTAAAAATTATGGTCTAAGATGAGGCTCTCAACGAAAGTTACTATCATATAAGCATCACTGATATAATTATTGAGTGTAAAAGTGTGTAGGGTCAGTGAAATTCCACTGAGCCCTAGCCAAATCATCCGGCAGTTAGGTCATTGAATATCGAACAAATCATCGATCGACGTCAAGGTCAAGGACAACCAACCCGCATAAGTTAACCGTACACCACGGACTGACCCATACGGCAGTGGTCATACCTTCGTTTGAATCTACTTTAACTAATATATTCCTGTAATAACGTCCTTTGTGTTGTACAGTCTCCGAAGCATCCACTGTACCTTGATCCGTCAATGGGGTAATCCACGTAAGGTGCCGACCACGAGGTGTGATTTCGACGTCAACTAGTTTGTCACACGATTCACGTCTAATTCAACTACACCTCCAATCATTTCGACATAGATGATCTACGTTGATGATTTACAAGTGCTAGGTATTTCACATATATGCCAAACCATAAGAAGGAGAGCCTCGTGTTTCTTGTTATGCACAATATCTCCAGAGAATGAGGTTAACTGAATTTGACTTCGTGTTGGCGATGCGGATCAAGATGAAGACCTGAGATTTATATCCATTACTTAAAACAGCCATAATTCAAGTGTCGTAATATTTACATTATGATCCCGACTCCTCCCACGGTAACTCTTTTATATGTGTCTGTTATCTCCCGTTTACGTAGATGATTTAGCTTTACTGGAAAGTGAAGAGGAAGAAGTTTGAGTTTGTTCAATCAAAAATTCAAAGTCTACTAATTGCAACATGTGTCATTTCATCTGAAGGACAACTAAAACTCTGACGACGGACCACGGGTGAACTCGAGGAGGCTGTAGAAGGCTCAGAAGGAGCCGAAGATATTCCATTCAATCACTTTTTGGAAGAATGTTCTAGAATTCATACGTGTAGCTTCCTGATTGAACAATGTTAAAAACCCCCCTTTATGCTGCTTGGTGAACTGCAATGATGATTTTGTTTTTACTAAAAACCATAATTACCTGACAATCTTGTATTATAATTGACGCTGTCTGCGAATAATATTCCTTTCATTAGTCTTCTGTATTCTTATTGCGACTTAGAAGAGTTCTGGCGTTCTAATGCTCACGTTATACGCGGTATATCAAGAACAATTTTATAGATATAATAACTGGCAATGGGGTCATCGTTCCAAGATGTCATTTACCTTTGAACAATCTGAAACCTTGCTGGAACGTCAAGAAAAACGTTTCTAACAGTTCCAGATTCACATGATAGAGACGCTAACCCAGAAAATGAACCTGAATCAAAAAGAAGTTACAAATAATCCCTTCAAATCTCATGTTAACCACATCATTAATTCTATCCATGAATTTAATTTCGATGGTTCGGCTGGCATTACTTTTGAAACCTGGTTCACGAAATATGAAGATTTGTTCAAGGTCGACCTAAAAAAACTTGATGACGCCTCTGAGGTTAGAACACGCTTACGAAAACTTGTAACGGGTGAACATGAACGTTACAGTTACTTTATCCTCCCAAAGAATCCAAAAGATTTTTCTTTTGATGCAGCGATTGAAATTTTGTCGCAACTCCTTGCTGAACAGTCATCCTTGTTTAATATTAGTTAACAATGTTTCAAGATAACAAAAGCAGGTGATGATAACTGGGTGAAGCATGCGGGGTTAGTAAACCGTGAATGTGAGCGCTCCAAACTATCATCAATGACAGAAAATCAGTTTGAGTGTCTCGTGTTTGTGTGCAGCCTCCAATCTCCGGAAGGTGCTGATATTAGAACCAGAATTTCGAGTAAAATTGAATAATGTCCGAATACAACACTACAGGAAGTAACCATGGAGTGCTAGAGATTGGTAAACTTAAAACATGACACTTCCATGGTCGAAAATAATGGCCAGTCGCCATACGTTCATGTTGTAAGGGGAAAGAAAGATTCTTGCTCAAGAAAATTATCGCACACAGACAATCAGTCTTTATCCCCATGTTGGTCATGTGGAGGTTGGCATTATAAGAGGTTGTAGCAAATGTCATCGAAGGGCCATAAAGAAAACCGTTGCGTGAAAAGAACCCATAAACGACATTCTTCGAAACCCTACTCCAAGAAATACAGATATTGTGCTCTAACAAACAAAATATTGGTATCACATAATCGAGCACAATTTTAACGCCAACGAAAGTATGTAAACTTAGATGTTAATAAAAAGCGCGCATGCCTGCAGCTCGACACTGCTTCCGACATCACATTTATTAGTCGAAAAACCTGGAATGTTATCGGTAAACCACAGGTGCTCCCAACAACCCAGTTAGCTCATAGTGCATCTGGAGGGTAATTAAATATTGTTAGAGAGGTTTGTTGTACAGCTTCAAAAAGAAACGCCAAGACGAATGGAACGTTATATCTCACAGAAAACCCAGGACTAGATTTGCTGGGTCTAGACCTAATAGAAACACTACAATTAGCAAATCACACCATTAACCACATATGCAGCGCCGTGAGAAACAATAAACCAGTGGAAAAGGATCTGAAGGGTGTTGTGTTGGAAAGGTATAGTTAAGTGTTTACGGAAGAGTTGGGTGAGTGCAAAAAGGTAAAAGCACTACTGATTCTTAAACCGGTAATTTCCCTCGTCTTCAGACCAAAACGTCCGTTATCCTATTCAGCGCTGCCTATTGTTGGACAAGAATTAGAGCGTCTGCAAAGAAGTGAAATAATAGAACCAGTAAACTTTTCTGATCGAGCAGTATCAATAGTGACTGTCAAAAAGCCAAATGGAAGTATCAGGCTATGCGCAGATTATTCGACTGGATAAAAGAAGCACTTGAAGTCCATCAATAGTCTTTGCCGGTACCAGAAGATTTATTTGCGAAACTGAATGAGGGTGAGTATTTTGCAAAATTATACCTATCAGAAGCTTGGCTACAGATCCATTAGCGGAAGAGTGTAAGCATTGCTTGACAATTAACACTCATAAAGGGTTGTTCCGATATAACATACTTCCTTTTGGAGTAACGGCCGCCCCTTCAATCTTCTAGCAAGTTATGGATACTATGTTACAAGATATTACTGGTACAGTGGTCTATCTCGATCACATACTGATCATGGGTACAGACTATGCCGACTTACAGAATAAGGTGGACACGGTTCTCAGACGCATAGCAGATTATGGGTCCAGATGAAAGGAAGGATTCTGGCGTTATAGTGCTCACGTTATACGCGGTAAATCAAGAACAACCTTCTAGATATAACAAAAGCCTTATTCACTTTTGTTTTTCATCTGTGCATAACAACAATTTTATTCCTACTTCATTGCTTATGGCTATCGAACGCTTTTACCATTCAATGGAATTATATTCAATGTTCTTACTGAGTTGTTGACTAACTGTTTCTCTTGTTCTTTACTTTTCAAGACTCTCGCATGTGTTGCGTTAGTTATATTAAGCATTAATTCCCATAACGTCTCGAGTCATACTTTTTTGGTCGAATATAAACCAGTCTTCAAATTGGGGAGAACTCTGCAAGAACAGCTAATGTTATTGTATTTTGACCCGGAGTCAGGGGCGAAATAAGACGCGGAGCAATCACTAGTACAAACAATCATTACAATGTCCCTATACGCAATGTGTCTTTGGGCTGGACGAGAGATACCGAAGCTAAACATTACCTCCATAAGCCTTGACGGGTTCGATTTTGTTCTGCGTATTGTACCAAATAATTCATGGTTTAATGGTAGTCGTTAATATTTCAATTGGCCCAAATGTGGTTATTTGTGCAATGCCATGATGGCAATACATTTTTATATGGCCCAGATAGGATTCCTTTAGGCATTTTATCAAGTTGGGCTGGTGGTGAGTGGTCTGTGTTGTATGCTTATCAACTCAAATTGTGATACATAGTTCCTACGAAAGTCACATTGTTATCAGTAGTTAGAACCAGCCATTCAAAACTAGGAAACAAATCTTGAGGTGACTGGGTCTTCTGCCGTTGTGGCACTACAATCCCTGAGCAGCACTATTGGTTTGTGTCAACTGACCCATGCTGGTCGTCTGGAACTGTACACAGTATGGGAAAATTTAGAAAAAACGAGTGAATGTGAAACGTAAGGCTTTACCTACACTAGAGGTACTCTTACTCACCCCCACCAGTATAACTCTTACAAGATAGCCGAAAGTATGACCACCTAAGCAATTTACCAAGTGAATCACAAGGATGATAAATTATAGTTCCTTCACTGTTTTACAGTTACCCACACTCTCCTAATAGCTAAAGTGTTGAAACTTGATATAAAATGATGATGAACACAAGGCAACAAACAGCCGACAATAATAATTTTATAGAAATATTAAGTACCCCTTTACGTTCTGAAATTTACCGGACAGCTTTCCTGGTTCTTATTTCAGCCTTTCTTCCGTTATTCCTATACACTCTACAGTGTTATACTTCAAAATTCATTGCCTTCGTTTCCATAATTAACCTGGAGATTTTTTGCTACAGTACAGTTATAAGAACTAGTATGACGTTCAACTACCGATTTGACATGCCTGTGCTTATTCCACTGTAACGGTTTTAGCATCATTGAGGATTCATACTTATTTGCCCCGTCGTTCATATCTTTGATCTCGTTTGCTTATCGTTAAGTTTGTAACGTTCAACAACAGAACTTATAACTTTATCTGCATCATATCCCTAAAGTTCGTGTATGTCAACGTCGAAAGTTAAACAAAGCACCTCAT